GATTTTTTTTTTAAATAAGTCACCTTCTTACCGGACCATTGACGATATGTTTTTAGATTCTTTTAAAATTGAACTTCCCTCAACACTTAGACAGGCTAATATTTTGTTAATTTTAAAGAAAAATAAATCACCAGATAGGTGTGAATCATACAGACCGATCAGCCTCATCAATGTCGATGCTAAATTACTCTCCAAGCTATCAGTAAGGAGGCTTGAGGGCATTCTCCCACTGCTTATAAACCCTGATCAAACAGGCTTTATCCAAAATCGTTTCTCATCTACAAATATTAGACGACTATTAAATATTATACAATACTCGAATCAGACAAATTCATAAAGTCATTATATCTTTAGATGCCGAAAAGGTTTGACAGAATCGAGTGGACATATCTATTTAAGAGAGATTTGGCTTAGGCGAGGGTTTTATTGCATGGATTAAAACTATCTACAAACTTCCAGAAGCTTGTGTCATAACTAATGGTGTACAATCATCAGCGTTTCCATTGCAAAGAGGTACGAGGCAAGGCTGTCCCCTGTCCCCTCTCCTCTTTGCATTAGCACTTGAACCTCTAGCTGAGGCTATTCGCCAGCACCAAGATGTGCATGGTATAACAGTGGGTGGAACAAATCATAAGATAGCATTGTACGCTGACGATATTCTGCTGTTCTTTATCAAAACCAGAACTATCAACCCATATGGAAAAGATATATATAAATCTTATAAATTTGTATCTGTCTTTGTGAAATTGTATGAAAAATACAGTGGGGCAAAAAAGTATTTAGTCAGCCACCGATTGTGCAAGTTCCCCCACTTAAAATGATGACAGAGGTCAGTAATTTGCACCAGAGGTACACTTCAACTGTGAGAGACAGAATGTGAAAAAAAAATCCATGAATCCACATGGTAGGATTTGTAAAGAATTTATTCGTAAATTAGGGTGGAAAATAAGTATTTGGTCACCTCAAACAAGGAAAATCTCTGGCTCTCACAGACCTGTAACGTCTTCTGTAAGAAGCTTTTCTGTCCCCCACTCGTTACCTGTATGAATGGCACCTGTTTGAACTCATCATCTGTATAAAAGACACCTGTCCACAGCCTCAAACAGTCAGACTCCAAACTCCGCCATGGCCAAGACCAAAGAGCTTTCGAAGGACACCAGGAAAAGTATTGTAGACCTGCACCAGACTGGGAAGAGTGAATCTACAATAGGCAAGCAGCTTGGTGTGAAAAAATCAACTGTGGGAGCAATCATCAGAAAATGGAAGACATACAAGACCACTGATAATCTCCCTCGATCTGGGGCTCCACGCAAGATCTCATCCCGTGGGGTCAAAATGATCATGAGAACGGTGAGCAAAGATCCCAGAACCACACGGGGGGACCTGGTGAATGACCTGCAGAGAGCTGGGACCAAAGTAACAAAGGTCACCATCAGTAACACACTACAACGGCAGGGAATCAAATCCCGCAGTGCCAGACGTGTTCCGCTGCTGAAGCCAGTGCATGTCCAGGCCCGTCTGAAGTTTGCCAGAGAGCACATGGATGATACAGCAGAGGATTGGGAGAATGTCATGTGGTCAGATGAAACCAAAGTAGAACTTTTTGGTATAAACTCAACTCGTCGTGTTTGGAGGAAGAAGAATACTGAGTTGCATCCCAAGAACACCATACCTACTGTGAAGCATGGGGGTGGAAACATCATGCTATGGGGCTGTTTTTCTGCCAAGGGGACAGGACGACTGATCCGTGTTAAGGACAGAATGAATGGGGCCATGTATCGTGAGATTTTGAGCCAAAACCTCCTTCCATCAGTGAGAACTTTGAAGATGAAACGAGGCTGGGTCTTCCAACATGACAATGATCCAAAACACACCGCCCGGGCAACAAAGGAGTGGCTCCGTAAGAAGCATTTGAAAGTCCTGGAGTGGCCTAGCCAGTCTCCAGACCTCAACCCCATAGAAAATCTGTGGCGGGAGTTGAAAGTCCGTGTTGCTCGGCGACAGCCCCAAAACATCACTGCTCTCGAGAAGATCTGCATGGAGGAATGGGCCAAAATACCAGCTACTGTGTGTGCAAACCTGGTAAAGACCTATAGTAAACGTTTGACCTCTGTTATTGCCAACAAAGGTTATGTTACAAAGTATTGAGTTGTATTTTTGTTATTGACCAAATACTTATTTTCCACCCTGATTTACGAATAAATTCTTTACAAATCCTACCATGTGGATTCATGGATTTTTTTTTCACATTCTGTCTCTCACAGTTGAAGTGTACCTCTGGTGCAAATTACTGACCTCTGTCATCATTTTAGGTGGGGGAACTTGCACAATCGGTGGCTGACTAAATACTTTTTTGCCCCACTGTATAAGTGTGAAAACAGATATAAGATCCCTTGAAAAATTATATAATGAAACTTGTATGTTTTGGATACTTACTAAAACAATGTATGAAAGTAATGAGAAAGTGGCCACTTTCATGAGTAAATCATGTAAGCCTTATATGATTTACTCATGAAAGTGGCCACTTTCATGAGTAATCACATATAAGTTTTTACTATTTCTTTTCCATATGGGAATGTCAGCCATTGTGTCTATTATATGTGAGTTTTGCTCATTCTCTGGTTACAGAATTAATTTTGGGAAATCACCCACATAGCCGACAGGTCTAGCCCGGATCTGGTGTCTAGCCAGCACTGCTGGCTAACTTCTGGCATGATAAGGTGTATGTCATCCAGATATGGGCCAGGCCCAGGCCTGGCATGGACGGGACTGTCTATGTGATGGCATGCCATATCTGGCGCAATTGTAGTTTGGGGTTATGTGGCCTAGGGTCATAGAAAAGAGGTATGGCCCAGATCTGGCATCAAGCTAGCACTTCTGACTGACTGGTGTCATGGCAGTGTGTATGTCAACAAGGTGTGGGCTAGATCTGGCAATGATGGCACCATTTATGTTCCTATTTTAGTTAGAAGACCCAAATGCCATGTTGCAATATTATACTGCTGTGGTAGCCAACATTTCAAATGCTGGTTTGACAGGTTTGTGAGTGTACACTTTATCCAAATCCTAGTCACCTACTCTTTTGATCACTGGGTGGCTGTAGCTCAGGAGATAGAGCAGGTCACATACTGATCAGAAGGCTAGTGGTTTGATTCCCGGTTCCTCCAGTCTGTAAGAGTGTAAATGTGTATGAATGTAGTTAGGAAGCACTCAGTTTAGACAAAGTGTGTGATTGGGTGAATGTGGCATGTTGTGTAGAGCACTTTGAGTAATCGGGAGAGTAGAAAAGTGCTATATAAGAATCATTCAAATCACTGTCTGAACAGAGTTTTGTCATGTTACTTTTGCACTATTATGTTCCAGCACATGTTGTTATTACATGGCTTGATTCAGGTACACATTAGGCTGACATCTGGGGCCAGAGCTGAAACTGTTCTGGGTCAGCAGTGTGTCTGCAACTGGCCTTGTGCTGGTCCATGTGTGGGCGAACCAGATTTGGGCCACCAAAGAGCTGTCATTCTTTGCGGTATAAGGGCCATGTGTAAGCACACTGTGTGGGCCAGATCTGGGCCATACCAAGTTTGCAATGTGGGCAGAGGTTTTGCCGCTGGGTGACCAGGTTAACTATGGAAACTGAACATTTCCCCAGTTCTAATAAAAATTTTCAAAAGATTTGGATAGATGGCAAAAATTTCCACTTTCTGTTTTGGGGCATGTGAGCCTAATTAAAATGAATATTCTGCCTCATTTACAATATCCCCTACAAATGCATCCTCTATGCCTTTCACCTTTGTAACTGAACAGATACAGATGTACTTGCCATACCATATATCAGAAAGAGAAGATACAACCACTCTTATGACCTTAGGATGTATATATGCAAGTCCCAGCTTCATTCAGTGGCCGGTCTCCACTATTTTGTTTAGTTATTCTTTTATCATGCTGTGATTGTTTTAGGGTAGCATCGTGGTAGGGAGTCTGGTCATTTTAATCATCGTTTGTTAATAAAGTGTTTTAATGAACTATTTTGCCGTCTCAACCCTGCTACCCTAGGTGTCTTCCTGATTTTATAGTAATGTTTTTAGTAGTTCCTCTTAATAAATTTTGATTTGTAAACTTCCTTTGTCTCACCTCTGCCGTTAATAACAAGTCTGTGGGCTTTGGTAGCCAGTGCAATACGTACATTGGCTAGAGAAATCTTTCCTGGGGTGTAACGCCCTCCCCCAGGTGGCGTTGTCAATATCTTAGTTGCCATCCCCGGTTATTCCTCATCGCGACATCACATAAGGAAGCAGCATAAAGTCTCCTTACGATTATTTTCCATAAAACTATTTTCAGCTGCTCTAACCATCTACAGCTTTTCACAGGGTAATGACTTGGTTAGCGATCTAATTTGCATAACTATAGTGCATTTCAGAAGCTATGTCCTAATTCATAGGCCGCATTCTTCCGAGGACCCAGGCTTTTTGGCCTATGTGGGCCGGGTCCTTTGAAGACTGAGAAGGCCGGAAGTGCGAGGCTGTGAAATGGGACGGTCTAGCCTTCAGATTTGCATCACCAACTGTCTCGATGGAGTTTAGCAAACTCGTCTGGTCTTCGCTCGCTAATATATAACAGGACATTGGAGTAAATTCTCGACCATCTCACAGTTCTGTTTAATCAGTTTTCTGTTTGACGTTTATTCAGCTGTGTGAAAACTTGAACTTTAATCACAGCCAAACCGATTTACTCACGAACACATAAAACACTGAAAAAAGCCAAACGGTAACATTTTTAAGTTATGTAAGTGACTTGTATGTCACGTTAAACCAGAGTAGCGAAAGACCACGGGGGTTTGAAAATGATGTGCCAGGAGTAGAGCGGGGCAATATGACCATTTTTGGTCATATTGCCCCGCAAATTGGGCGCAAATTGGATGACATCTCGGGGAGGCACACTGCAGTGAGTTCTCAGAATCGGCTCCTTGCGCACAAGAAATGACAACATCACAGAACGCAAGTATGGCGAAGCTTGCGGCTCTCCAGCGGGAGATTGGAAGAGCAGTGTTGGACTGTAGAACTGCTTTGAAATTCATATGAGCTGTTCGCACTAAAGTAAAAAGCACCATCACTTCATGCGGATAGCCCCTTTGGCGCCAGCTGCGGTCTCAAGGCTGGAGCTGAACAACAACACCCTGATAACGACTGTGTTTAGTCTGTTCCTTCCATTCCATGCAAGGCCACCTGGGTTGGCTGGAAGACTGTTTACTTAGCCTAGCAGGGCGAAGGACACTGTCTCAGCTGAACTCTGGACACGCACACACTCATCCCCCCCCCTTTCCAAACGCCTTCGACGCTTATTCCCTTCTGATGCTGCACCCTTTACCCACCCCTGTTGCTTGTCATGTGTTTCTTTGGTGTATTAAGAGTTTTTTCATGTGCTATGTGAAGAGGTGTTTTTTTTGGGGTTTTTTTTTCTGTTCTCAAACTGATCTCCCTGTTGGAGCTCAGTCTGGGGGGAGTTATTTTTCTCCTTATCTTTCCTCATGTGGTGCATTTTCCATTGTTATACCTCTCTGACCTGTCTTCCCCATGTGATGGTTTGTGTAATGTATGTATGGTCGGAGGGTAAGATGGCGCCGCCATTGCGTGCAATAGGTCGACAGCCTTATGATATTTCCCCTTGTGGGACTAATAAAGGTATATCAATTCAATTTAACCACTCATGTGTCTAATTAGCCACATTTAGCTTACCGCTGTCGAGTGGCATGCTCAGTGTTTACGTGACGCCATGGCTCAGTAAACTCCCCGTTTTCACTCCGTACTCTACAACAACCAATGCAAAACCATACTTGGTGAACAATATCAATTTAAATGGTATTTCACTCGTTAGAGGTTATTTTCTCCAGCTTACCAATAAAAAAAGTTTTAGCCCGTCTGCTGTGCTCGGCTGTAGAAAGCAAGAGACTGAAAATATGGGAGCAGGTGCTGAGGGAGAAGAACTGCCTAGAGCTTAAACAAGAGGAGTGGAATAAAACAATAGGCTCTCATCAGAGCTCATCAACACTTGGAAAAACGTAACTCTTGTTTAGCCAAAACACACATCGCATATAAATCTGTGTCCCTTTCATGTTTAAATAAATATATTTTGTTTCACTGTCATTGAAGGACTTTAAGAGCAGAAACAATGAACATGACATGTTTACTTTTTTCTTTTTCTTTTTTAAAGATGATTTTAGGAACTGGTTAACAGTGTCCTTGTTTTCTTCCCCCCCAATGGTGAAAACAAAATTCCATACAAATCAAATCTCAGCCTCTTGCACAATCTTGTGGACAGTCAAACATGAGTAGCAAAGCAATATTTGTTAATATAAGCAGGCACAGCCACCTGTGCCTGCTTATATTAACAAATATTGCTTTTTTCCCTCTTAATATGAACAGGCACAGGTGATTGTTCAATTTACTGCATTCCTGCTGTCATATTTATGCCATTACACACCACAAACTGTCCAAACTAAAACACAAACATTCAACACTGGCTGGCATGTTTTACATAGAAGGAGCTCAGTTTTCTGGCATCATGCTGTTGTGTTTCAGGTCCAGGCCTGGCGTTCATACCAGGATACCCTCAGGCTGTAGCCATGATGCCCCTGCCTCAACTGTGGTCCATCTGTTTCTTTGTTATGCTCATTCTCTTGCGTCTTGATTCACAAGTAAGACACACACAACTTTGAAACTTTGCATTTAGGCGTTGCTATTTACTAAGTGTTTTGTCCATTTTCTGCACAGTTTGTTGCCATGGAAGTAGTGATGACGTCCTTTGTCGATATGTTTCCCAAAGTGTTGCACAGAGCCGGCCGAAGGGAGATTTTTCTCCTTCTCTACTGCCTGATATGCTTCTTCTCTCAGCTTGTCATGGTTACTGAGGTCTGTATGTAATGTATCACTGGCAGAAAATGTTTTGGAAATGTGTGTGGGGGTCTGAAAGAAAATATTTAAAAATTATATATCCTAAGTTTCTGATTTTAGATTTAAAACTAAACACATATGAAATATCTGTGTCATTGTGTCTAGGGAGGAATGTTTGTGTTCCAGTTGTTGGACTACTATGCTTGTAATGGAGCTTGCATCCTCTTCCTATGTGTGTTTTGAACTCTGGCACTGGGTTGGATATTTGGTAGGTGTGCTCTTCCATATCGTTCCCTAGTGATGTCATGGTGATGACATGATCAGGGAAATTTTCTCAGATTTATCTTTTGGACTCTACAGACATTATAGTGCTGTTTAACACCAAGTGTGATCAATATATGTTGTTTATCTTGTTTGTTTTCCTATTAAGGAGTAGATCGGCTGTATGACATAATAAAGGACATGACAGGAACACGAGCCAACTACTTCTTTAAACTGGCTCTACCTCACACCACTGGTCTCACTAGTGAGTTGAGCTGTAAGTGTTAGGATGTCAGCACTCAATTCTCCACCAGCTAAACCATCTCCTTTTGATTTCTCAGGGCTCTTTTATATGTTCTTTAATTGAGTACCAGCCTCTGACCTTTAATCGGTGGTACATCTATCCATCCTGGGCATATGTGCTGGGGTGGATACTGGCCCTCTCCTCCATCCAGCTTGTTCCAGGATGGGCCCTGTATAAGCTGGGCACTGGGACTGGGATCCTAAGTCAGGTGGGATGATTGTGGTCTAAGATTAAATACAGCGTGGGAAATAATTATTTTATCCCCTTCTGAATTTGAAAGTTTGTTCACTTAGAAAGAAATGAACAGGCTTTATTTTTTTATGGTTGTTTCATTTTAATAAAGACACAGAATATCAACCCCAAAATTAATAAAATAACACATTATGTGAAAGTTATAAATGATTTGTATGTCACTGTTTTAAATAAGTCTTTGATCCCAAAGCAAAAATGGGAGTATATTGTTCGTGGCAAGCAAGGTGATTGAACATTTCTTGTTGGTAGTCACCAGATTTGCACACTTGCCAGGAAGGATTTTGATCCACTCTTCTTTACAGAAACTCCCAAATTCGTTTAGATTTAAAATGTGCTTATTTAGGTGCTGCTTTGTTACCTTGGAAGTATGTTTTGAGTGACTGTCATGTTAAAAGGACCCATCTTCAGTGTTCTGGCTGAACGAAGGAGGTTGCCGTCCATGATTTTATGATACATGGCTCCAGCCATTGTCCCCTCAATACTATGAAGTCATCCTGTAACCTACCTTACTGTTTATTTCTTTGTGAGCAAATTTTTAAAATTCAAATAATTATGTACCCCACTGTATATTGTTAAACAAAAATGTATAGCTTACGTGCGTACACTGTAATTTTTAATCACAATATGCAGCCATCCGGCTAACTAAATGTAGCTGCCTATGACAAGATTTTAATGACTCACATCGCAGCTTGTTATGTTGTAGCCTTTCAGAATTGTTATTAAACTTTAAGTATGATACTGTCACAAACAAACCTGTTTATGTATACTTCCTACATTTTGTAGTGTTTCCATCATCTTTGCCAGCCAAATCTTGAAAACTCAGCGAACCAAAGGAAAGAAACTGGGGAGCAGAGCATCAGAGAAGAAGTTCTGCTGTAGTTCAAACTCAACTGAGAGAAAAAGGTCATCTGGTCCTTTGGTTTTTGCTTCAATTTGGAGCTGAATGTGATGTGGCTTTCCCTGTTTACCTTTTATACAACTGATTGTATAAAAGAAAATGTTAAAATTTAAATTGCAAATGAGATTGATTTAATGGTATCCACCAAGAAAAGTGTAAAAAATACAAAGAGCTGATTGAGTTACAACTTTAGTTTTGTCTGAAGCACTTAGAGCAAGAAATCAACAAAACATAAAGGCCCACAGATGTGGACCCTATAAAGAAATTTAAGTTTTCATTTTTATATATCAGTCCTTTTTCATGTATGCCTTGTTCCAGTATCCAATTTATCTTCGATGAGAGATATTGACATGGACCTTGTTAAGCCAGCTGATGTCTGTAAATATCACACTCATGATCCTCACTCATAGGTTTGGGCAGCATGGGGGGCACAACCTGGGAACCCTTACTGGATCCATGCTCTGGCCAAAACCCCTGACCAACTGTTCGAAAGACTGTGGTGTTGCCACTACACTATCGAGCTGCTATTCAACATCTCTTTATCTCAGTCGGTGATCCCCACATGCTTCAAAGAGTCCATCATTGTTCCTGTCCCGAAGAAACCCCACCCTGCTTCTCTCAATGACTATCGCCCTGTAGCCCTCACCTCAGTAGTGATGAAGTGCTTTGAACGCCTGGTCAGAGACTTCATCATTTCTTCACTACCAGACACACTGGATCCACTACACTTCGCATACCGTCCAAATCGTTCCACAGACGATGCCATCTCTCATCTCCTCCACACATCACTCACTCGGACACTAGAAGGGGGAATTATGTTAAAATGCTCTTCATAGACTACAGCTCTGCATTTAACACCATAATTCCCTCCACACTCACCACCAAGCTGGAGCATCTGGGACTCAGCTCATCTATGTGTCAGTGGATCTCCAACTTCCTAACTGGCAGACCACAGGCAGTAAGGATGGGCGGACATGTCTCAGCCTCCACCACTCTCAGCACTGGAGCCCCCCAGGGGTGTGTTCTGAGCCCCCTGCTGTACTCTTTGTACACATATGACTGTGTGGCCACTACCAGCTCCACCACCATCATCAAGTTTGCTGACGACACCGTCGTGGTGGGCCTGATCTCTGATAACAACGAGACGGCCTACCTGAAGGAGATTAGGAATCTGGAGAACTGGTGCCAGAGGAACAACCTCCTTCTAAACGTCAGTAAGACAAAGGAGCTGATAGTGGACTTCAGCACTAAGCAGGAGAGGAACTACCAGACCCCCGTCATCAACGAGTGCCCAGTGGAGAGAGTGGACAGCTTCAAATACCTCGGAGTTCACATCACGCAGGACCTGTCATGGTCCTGTCACATCAACACCGTGGTGAAAAAGGCCCGTCAGCGTCTCTACCACCTCAGACGCTTGAGAGACTTCCAACTGCCCTCCATGGTGCTCAGGAACTTTTACTCGTGCACCATAGAGAGCATCCTGACGGGAAACATCTTAACCTGGTTCGGGAACAGCACCATGCAGGACAGACGAGCTCTACAGAGGGTTGTGCGGTCAGCTGAGCGCACCATCCGCTCCGAGCTCCCTGACCTGCACTCAATCTACAGCAGGCGGTGCTGGACCAAGGCCAGGAAGATCGTGAAGGACCTCAGCCATCCCAACAACAGACTGTTCTCTCTGTTGAGGTCAGGAAAGCGATTCCGCTCCCTGAAGACCAACACAGAGAGACTGAGGAGGAGCTTCTTCCCGCAGGCGATACGGTCTCTCAATCACACCACCACACAGTACTGACCCACACATACAGTTCTTACACACACTGGACATTCTGGACATTGTTTTTGCACAACACTGGTCACTATATTCTTCATTTCCAGTTAATACTTGTACAGCTGCTGTTATTGTGTATATATTTATTTATATTTAGATTTCTTCATACATTCTTATATAGTTCTATATTGTGTATTTTGTTGTAGTTATTTTATTTTCAACTTTAATTTATATATTTTATCTTATTCTCCCAGTTAAATTTACCCTTCATTCTAATTTGTGTTGTACAGTTATTTCATTTTTAACCTTAATTTATATTTTATTCCTTCCTAGTTAAATTTACCCTTTTTAATTTTTCATATTTATTTCCTATCTTATTCATAGCCTTTTCCTTTTTGTTTTCTTTAGGTCACGAGCAGTTGTCCAAGCATTTCACTACATATCGTACTGTGTATGACTGTGTACGTGAGAAATAAAATTTGAATTTGAATTTATTTTTAATTCCAAAGTGGTTGCAATGGTAAGAAGAGCATTAGGAGTTGTAACCCCAGAACTGGAAGACTGACTCCAACACGTTCCAGGCACGAAATCAAAGGTCTCTGTGGACAACAAATTCCCAAGCCTCTGGTAGAGGACCCAAACTCGTGAAGATGTCTCACACATCTCACACGCACAAAATGGAGGACATGCAAATCAATTTAGGTTACTTATACTTTATCTTTTAGTAGGGTTAAGTAAACTGGTGATTCTAAATAGCTCCTACATGTCTCTCTGTGTTAGCCCAGCAACAGACTAGTGACTTGTTCAGGATGTAGCCTGCCTCTCGTCAAATGGTGGTTTCGATAGGATCCAGCCTATATTTTCTCTCCATTACAATAAAACTACCATAAAAACCATTTTTAGTATGATGCCTAGCAACCACCCATTTAATATAGATAAGAACCTTAAGAAGTCTAAGCCATTCCTGTGTGCCAAGTATGATCGCTGAACTCCAGACTGTGTAGGAGCTGGCAGTCAAAAAAATAAATAAATAAAAAATCATCACACACACAGACAGACTTCATGTGTTATGATAAGATGGTAAATATCGTTTTCATATAATTTGTAAATGATTAAGTAACTAAAACATTCAGGCCACATAGAGACCATTTTAAGCTTTATGAAAGCGCCATGCATATGCCTAAAATCCCATTCTGGCACAGTGCTTAGACCCTAGAGGAGTAAAATAACCAAAGGGGGTGCCACATCTGGTCTATACTTTGATTAAATATCAAGGACCAATAGTATAAATTGCTCACTTTTTCCAACGGCCTCTGTACATAGTGTACTTTTCATATATCAGAAACTCTGGCTGATTGGGACCCACACCCAGTTTCACACCTTGGCTCAGGCGATTAGAGGATCATCAGGGGGTCCTTTTGTCCCTCTGTGGGGGGATACTCCCACTAGGTTTATATCTGGGACTCCCCACCATTTGACCTTAGAACTGAAGAAGCTTCTCGGATGAGAGGTGAAACGTCTTCAAGCAACTTAAAGAAGTCCAGACACTTTTCTTTCCAAGCTCCTTTGACTACAATGACCTGGATGACTGAGAACCTTCACAGACATATGTCAGCATGTTATTTCATTAGGAAAAGAACACAGTGTAGACAAGAGTTACAATCCACACAATCCAGCAAATGGAAAGGAAACTATTACCATGGCTTTCAGGAACCAGAGACAGTGCTGCACTTCTACCACATGAAGCACCCTGTCAGTTT